GAGAGAGAGAGAGAGAGAGAGAGAGAGAGAGAGAGAGAGAAGAAAATCGGAAAAAAGAACTGACTCGAGCGCCGCAACTAACTCGCAATGTCACAAGCATTTTGTGATTACAGGTTTTGGGCCGTCTTGTCCTCTCTTAGGTTTCTCTCTGTTCGAACAGAAGTCTCGAACAGAAGCCTATAAAAAAATACATCCCCCATTTTTTTTTAACTACTTCATTTTGATTCAATTCCTCGCCAACATTATTTAATATTAGGTGTACAACTTTGCTTCCGCCGTTTTTTTTCCGAAATTCGAGACTTTATTGTAAAAAACTGGTTATATGTTTATAAGTCCATCGCTGACCACTACTTTCTTCCATCTTTCGGGTAGCGTACGAGTCCCGCGTCGAAAAAACTGGTCATCTATCCACGAATCGATCCAATTTTTTATTTCTTCATAAGACCGGAAGTGCTGGTCAGCCAGGCCGTGTGCCATTGATCGAAACAAGTGATAGTCAGAGGGAGCTACATCTGGAGAATATGGCGGGTGGGGTAGGACTTCCCATTTCAACGTTTCCAAGTATGTCTTGATCACTTTCGCAACATGGGGTCGAGCATTGTCATGCTGCACAATCACTTTATCGTGTCTCTCGTTGTATTGCGGCCGGTTGTCTTTCAATGCTCGGCTCAAACGCATCAATTGCGTTCGATACCGATCGCCTGTGATTGTTTCAGTCGGTTTTAACAGTTCATAATACACTACACCGAGCTAGTCCCACCAAATACAGAGACCTTGGACGTCAAAATCACCGTTCTTGAAGCGTTGAAACCACTCACGACACGTTTTTTCACTAATAACGGCCTCACCGTAAGTATTTGAGAGCATTCGATGAGTCTCAGCCGCAGATTTCTTCATATTGAAGCAAAAAATTAAAACCTCCCAAATGACGAGAATTTGGCTCGTAAACTGACATTTTCAATTGAAAATAACTTTATGATGCAGACACAAATCGATTAATGTTTCTATGGGGGGTTTCTTATGTTGACAGATGCCCAAATTGTATGACGTCTATGATCTATTTATTTCGACCACCACTTACCGCTAAAGCCATCTATAGGAAAACGGCGGAAGCAAAGTTGTACACCTAATAGCTAGTCAATGTTAGACAACGTAGATACTGATTGAGAAACGTAAATATTATTAGATACTTCGTAATCTATGAACTGAATGAACGAAGTTCTCCTAACCTTTGATAAGCAAGAATAAATAAATTAAACTGACAGAATTAAATTGATGGGCTCTTGTAGTAAAATTAAAATTATAAAATGTAAATCAAAATAAAGTATAAATTTCTGCATTAAAAAATATAATTATGAACTTTCAAGAAAACATGGATAGAGATAATATTTGAATTTTGTTGTTATTGTATACATGTCAACAATATCATGTTTATACAATGTAAAATCTATGGATTATCATAATCGTATAAAAAGAGAAAGAGCTCTACAAATAATATGCCATCAGTATACAGAGATCACCAAAAACCAATAACAATAGAAATTGCAAAAAGATCAATAATTTAAGATCACAATATTTAAATTATAGAGATCAAATTCAAGATTAAACAATCAAAAGCAAGCGCTTGCTATCCATTGCATCGCAATTTGATACATTCCATTGTCTCAAATAATTCAGCAATATGATTCCATTTTTCTTCGGTATTTGAAGTCTAAAATATTATGTATATTAGTTATTATGTATAAATATTATTTTAAATATTCATAGCATATTGATACAAGGAAATAAAAATTATAATTTTAATAATTACCTTTAAATATTCATCTTTTAGTACTTCATAGATGATTCTAACTGTTATGATACGAGATAAAGTACAAGCCGATATTCTTATTGCAAATTCCATGCTGCAAAAAGATTTCCCAATGGCTAAGAATCTTATAGTGTTTTCCTGAGAAAACTGATGCAACACTAGTGCGCATTGAGTGTAGTTGTTCCACTGTGAAAAGGTTCGCACACTCCAACATGCTCAATACGTTATCGAAATCAATATGATGACTAGATGTTCGTGTCGCATTAGAGCATACTCCATGGATCAATTAAGAGCATGCTTCATTTGCCTCATCTCAGAAGGTGGTACGATTAGGGCATGTTACGCACGCATGCGTAATGATTAAAAACGAACTATATCGAAAAAAAAATTTTCATTTCAGATTCATTTTGTATAAAAACGCATTTAATAAATACGTTTTTGATATAAATATAAAAATATAATATAACAATATAATATAATATTAATAAAATAAAATAAA